GTGCTGGGGGTGGGAGCTGAAGAAGGACAGGCGGCTGTAGAGGAGGGAGACCGAGAAGAGGAGGAGCACGGCGGCGATCAGCGCGCAGAGGTGCGCGCCGTAGCGGGGACGCCGCCGCGTGCGGAGGTGCCGGAGCATGAGATGCGACGGTTGGAGTGTTGGTGTTAACCAGTGTTGGAGTACACAGTGCGATTAAACAAGAGCCGGAGGAAAAAGCAGTAGCTCAAAATGAAACTAATTGAGATTAAAAAACAAAAAAGAAAAATTGCTTGTAACAGTCATTTTATTTGGAAATCGAATAATATTATAAATTATATAAATTATAATCCTTCACCTTGCTTGAAATGCCAATGAGATTTTCTATATAATGATCTTTCACAATTTCAAAATTATTCTTGCTTTGTTTGGAGGGTAACTGTAAGGACCTGATATAAGATTTACCAAGTTTACAAATGATGAACGGCTTGATGGGGATAATTGTTTACTTGTTTTAATTTCATTTTCATTATGTTGAATATTTAAGATATGTATAATTGTGAAGCTATTATAAGCACGTGTTGTTTATTCAACTAAATGAAATATGAAGTTAAATCTGATTTAGTAACATCTGATTTGTTATTCTACGTTTTGTTATTCTACGTTTTCAATGTGATGTTGTGTTTATAATTCTATTCTATATTTAAATAATACCCAGTATTCCACATATTTTATATATTATCTTTATTTTTATTATGTTAATATTAAACATATAATGTCGTACTTGTGTCGTAATCAAACCTAGAGTTTCAAATTCGAATCAATCATATTAGAAAGTTGTAAATATAAATTTATTAATTAATTTATTATTTGAGTTATAATTTGTGTTTGAGTACATTTACATGTATAATTAATAGTTTGAGTATTATTGTTTAAGTTCGACTTGATTCTTAAATGAATGAGTCTTATTAAAGTTTGGATAAAATATAATTCGATGACAATTGATCGTTACATCTATAGTCCACACACATCACACAATTTCTACGTAGAACTTCCTCTAAATAAGTAATTCGCTTGCATCTGTTATATCAACTACAAAATCTAATTTCGGTGTGTCGGAAGCAATGTCTTCCGATAGACTTGTAGAGTTTCTACCAGGACAAGTTGTGGGGATAAAGTTGTTTGCTAAGCGCCACCAGAAAATTTGGACCTTTCAAAGGATATTTAAGGCTCACAATAACTTCCACTACTTTCAAAGACTAATTGCAGTCTGGCTTGTGGAGGGAACGTAAAAACCCGTTTAAACTTTATAACTCTCTTCGACTGAAGAATTCACTTTGTCATCGGAACACCAATAGCGATCATCCTTTTGAGGAGAACTTGGAAGATTAATTTGCATGATTTATTTAGCAATAAATTCGGGAAAGATATTATAAATGAGGCTCTCGTTCCATTCACCTTCACTAACGAGGTCATGTACCTTGCATATAGATGAAATGTTAAAATGAGATAGTTAAAAGTTAAAACTATTTGAGTGAATGAATAATGAATTAAAATTGTTGTGATGTGTGATGATGACTGATTGTTATTATTTAATTATATCGATAATATTGATGATTGTTGAATTTAACTAAATTTGAGTTAGATTGTGAGTTAACAAAAAATAGTTTAAAAGCGACTAAATATCTTATAAACAATCAGAGTCTAAATATTTTTCATTTGCACATACTGTAATATACACATTGCGACATATAAAAATTCAATATTTAGTTAATAATTATATTTGAAAACCAAATTTCGCAATTATTCATGATAGTAATCAATAAGTTATTAATTAATCTATATTTTAAGTTGTAAATACTTTCATCTATCATAAATACAACTACATTTAAGAAAAAATTTATAAAAAAAAACTACATTTATGAAATTTTATTTTTATAATAATTTTTAATCGAATTCTATTTTTAATAATAATAATAGTAAACCATTAAATATCTAGGTTGGCACAACCTTTAATTAATCCTTCACAAATGAGAAATTAACTAAAGACCGTTCACTAAAACATCTCCTCACCCAGAAACGCGCTTTACCGTAACCCACCTATGTTTATACATGCAATTATGTGTCTGTATATCGAGCTTAGGATTGTGTGTACTCTTCGCCGGAGGTCCGACTGCCCAATTCGACGGATATTATGAAAATTTTGATCGGAGTAAGAACAATTGATGTTCAGTTTATTGCAGAAGTTTTACAAACGAGAATCGCCGCTTCAATTTCACTGTTTCAGTAACCGTAGCGTCGGAAAAATTGCGGTATACGTGTGTGTTCGTGTTTATATTTATGTTTATTTATCGTCTCAAGCGATGAGTTATGTCTGATCAGTAGTCTTCTAAGATTTGAAGTTTTATTGCACCTATCATAGTCGCAATTTGGATTATGAACTTATCAATCACTTGTCATTGTTGTCACATTATGCATGCACATGTATCGCAAATCGTCTGCAGTGAGAAACTGCATTGGTATGTAGTGACAGCTGGTTTGTTTCTCCAAAGAGAAAATTATATAGTGACTAGATAAAGAGATTAAGCTAGAGTGATGTTTATAAATTGTTGGTCTATGTTTAATACAATCACGTCAACATTGTTGACGAGGCAGCTTGCAGGTGGTCCGATGGAGTATTGCGACCAATACAATGGGGTTGCTGGAAGTATCCCTGAATTTGGTGCAATCGTCATGTCCAATCTATTGATGAAGAAAGAGTGCTTCAAACGTAAATTATTTTCCCTTCCACATGCCAAGGCTGAATTTGTCAAACATGTGAAAGCTGGAATGGTTTTGTTCCTGTTTGACTCCGTAAACAGACAACTCTTTGGAGTTTTTCGAGCCTCCTCTGATGGTGCGATGGATATTGTTCCTCATGCGTTTAAGTATTCAGGGAAGCATTTCCCTGCACAGGTATGGCAGGTTCCAGCATTGATGTTTTTCTTGTGTTATAATAGTAAGGGTTCTTTCTTCGAGGTTGGAAATTTATCTCTACGTTGAACCATTTTCCTTACTATTAACATGAGAGGTATAACTTGAGTGTGTGGGCTTTTGAAAATTTTGTGTCCAGGTTTTTTTTACACCGATCTGGTAGTGTGATCCACTTTCTGAGAGAGAGTTTCGTGATGCTATTATAGAGAATTATTTTTCTGATGGGTGTTGAATCCAACAATAATAAATTTCTGCTTCTAAAATAACTGTAGTAGTGGTAAGCAGGGTCGTATCCACAGGGATTGGCTAGACAGTGTATTGATGCAACTATTCGTGAAAAAATTAAAATAAAAATGATGGGGGGTCTTGATGATTTTATCTAACTAAGAAAAATAAAATAAAATCTAACTAGATACGAAAACAAAACGAGTGGTTCAAAATAGAGAAAATATTCAACCAAAGGAAAATATTATAGAAATGGTTCAACGATTCGATCACATATGGAAAGATAATTCACCTACTCTCGATTAAACTGCTTATGGTTATTGGTACGACTTAACAACCTATCCTTCCTTATTTGTCCGATAATCAGGTTACGATTTCTAATTATTTCTCTAATCAATAGACAACCCTAGATACGATCATAGGATTTAATCTATCAACAACAATGAAATCTAGAAGGACCACCAATTCTAGCCAATAAACACATATGTAGGATCATTTAAACTAGATCATATATCTCCCTAAACATAAAATCGAAAACCCTACGAGACCAGACCAGACCTAACAACCTATCCTTCCTTATGTATCTTGCTAATTGCACCAGACCGTATATATCTTTTGCTACCAACTTATTAGCAAGATATAACTCGTCACCTACGAAGAGACGCTGGAATGGTATCAAGCATCTATTCCATTATCTCCAAAGAACAACCGATCTGGGATTATTTTACTCAAATTATAAAAAACATGAAATGATTGTTTTGTAGATGTATGATATTTATCAGACCCACATAAGGCGAGATCTCCAACTGGCTACATTTTCACAATTGGTGGAGCTGCATTTTCTTGGCGTTCTCAGAAACAAACACTAGTTGCTACATCTTCAAACCATGCTGAAATCATTGCACTTCATGAAGCAACTATGGAAAGCATAACATCTGGCTCAGAAACATGACTAAACACATTCAACAAGCTAGTGGATTATCGGATAATAAAGAACCGACGGTGATATTTGAAGACAATGCAGTATGTGTCGCTCAAACCAAACAAGGATACATTAAGAGTGACAAAACTAAACATATCCCATCAAAGTTCTTCTCATACACTCAAGAGCTTGAAAGGAACAAACAAATCAAGATTCAATACATCCAATCAAGTGATAATGCAGCAGATTTATTTACGAAGGCGCTCCCAACTACAACATTTCGAAAGCACATCCACAACATTGGAATGAGACTTTTTCGAGATTTGTACAGATAATATCTCGAGAGGGAACATGTGCAGCTGTACTCTTCTTTCCTTATCTCGGTTTTTTTCTCACAGGGTTTTTTCCGGATAAGGTTTTTAATGAGGCAACACAAATGCACATTCTATAGTGATAAATCCAATGAGGAGTATTGATAATGTGTTTATCACTATTAGTTGGAAGAATGAATTATTAGAAATAAATGAAGTGGTTGGAAAAGTGAATAATTGTGAAGGAAAATTTGCCTATAAAAGGCAACTCATTTGTAGCAAAAATGAGCACGAAAGAAGAAAGAATAAATTCTGTATAAAATATATCCGGTTTATATCTTGAGTTATCTATTTTCAGTTTTTATAACAGTTTTAGATAATTATGTAGTTATCCCCATCTCCTCTTTATATAATTTCAGAATGCGCTGAGCCTACGTGGCAAACTCTCATGCTTCGGAATCCTATTTGGCAAAAAATCATGCATTGGAGTTAGGCTTGGATATAAATTAATATTTGTATTAATTGTATTTTAATATCATTTCCTATTATAACCATTGATTGAATTGCAAATATATTTTAAAAGTTGATAACTTTTGTAGTTCTTATCGGTTTTACATATATAATATATCAAATTAATCATCTTTTTATGAACTTCGATTTGACATTCATATTGTGTATATAAAATAAATAAATTTTATTTATCTTTATAATAATAAAAACATTATTATTAAAATTAATTAGAAAATAAAAATATTTATTAATTAATATATTTATGTTTAATGTTGTTATATGTTATAACACATATAAGTCGCACAAGTAACACGTGTCATACTAAAATATATAATAATATATATTCCCTCCTAATTTTATTATTTATCACTTTAGCTTAATTGATCATTGATAAAATAAATGTCGTTTTAGATATTTTATTCATATTTTTCTATTTTTAACCCTCCATCTAATACAAAATGTCTCTTCATATCACATCTCCATCGTTTCCCATAACATCCATTAAATAGGATTAATATTGTCAAGAAAAAAAATCTTAATTAGTGTGTTGCATTTGAATTGATATTATGAAGTCCGTTTGTATTTTACTATATATATATATATATATATATATATATATATTATAATACAAGACAGTAATATATATCCTTATAAATAAAATTTAAATTTATTTATCAAACTAAATTAAATTATATCAAATAAAATTATAAATTATATTATAAAGTAATAGAAATTGGTATGTGTTCTTTTAAAAATTATATTTATTTCAAATCTAACTGGTATGTTGTCAATATAATAAAAATAAATAATTATTTATATAAACTCTAAAATTACATATAAAATTAAAAAACTGTGAAACACGATTGATACGACACTTGATGTATTAGACATCTAATTAAGTAAACAAATTAATCTATTTTGCTTAATATTAAATAAACATATTCTACACTTATGCATATACATATCACCATTGATGCAGAATAAATATAGTTATTATTATTATTATTATTATTATTATTATTATTATTATTATTATTATTATTATTATTATTATTGTTATTTTATTATTATTATTATTATTTAGTAGATTGGTGAACAAGTTAGGTTTAGGGCTTTAGGAGTCTTATTCAAAGACCCCTTCTTCTTTGTTATTTGCAGTTGAATATGAAATAAGAAATTGATTGAGTTTATCATGTTTTGGTATTCTTGAAATTGTGATCTCATTAATATCGTCCCACTCATACGCTTCCCTACATCAGTTGGTATCAACAGTCGGTACAATTCGCGATATCGCCGGGACGACAAGATGCCGCAAACAAACGATTTGATGCAACCTTCAACGATCGGTTTCAACAGATCGACTACCCATTTGAACAGTTGGACGTGCGTTTCACGGATTGGTTTGCAGATCTTTCGACAGGGATCGAGTATTTGCGTTTGACGCTTAACAACGTGATCTGGGATTTGCAGATGAACCATGTCGCCGGCGACTGGGATGTGCGCGGGGGAGCTCACGGAGGAAGTGGAGGTTGTGTTCCAGGCGGGGCGCCCCGTTGGCGATCTCCACAACCGCCGCTCGGCGATGCAGACGGCGAGGAGACCATCTCAGAGGTGGATCCCTTTGGAGAGTGGCTGCCACCGCCCGTCAAGACTAAGCTCGTTGCTGCACACGACGACCAAGATGTGCGACAACTGAATGCGATTTTTGAGAAAGATGACGAGCTATTGTACGACGGTCCGCCTATTTTCGATGAGGAGCCTCCGGTGACGGAGACATATTTTTGCGGCAAGATGGGTCCTGCGTGGGACGTCGCAGAAGTTGAGCCTTTGACAGGGATGCCGTCATTGAAACCCGATGTTTGGAGTATCTTGTCCAACGATGGTTTTTGGGAGCCGACTCTGAGGCTGAATAACTGGTGGGCCATTTTTCGATTGTCTATCGCGAAGTCTCCCAACAACGTGATGCTTGGCCGTAGTTATGGATTTGAGCGCGGCAAACGATGTAGTATGTTTTGTGTTAATTCAGCTGTGTGGATTATGCGTATGAAGGCGTGTACATGTGCCTTTGTAGCAGTTCAATCCTTACCCGAGATTATGTTTACTTTCGGGGTTGTTAGGCGACCTTCAACCTTCGTGTTCGATTGGGGGAAACGTTGGGTTATTCCTGTCATGAGATGTCTCCAACGGGAACGGGTCGGATTCGAGGGCGAATCCTGCTCAACCGGGGGAGAATGATGCAGAATAAATATAGTTATTATTATTATTATTATTATTATTTAGTAGATTGGTGAACAAGTTAGGTTTAGGGCTTTAAGAGTCTTATTTAAAGACTCCTTTTTCTTTGTTATTTGCAGTTGAATATGACATAAGAAATTGATTGAGTTTATCATGCTTTGGTATTCTTGAGATTGTGATCTCATCAATATCGTTCCACTCGTACGCTTCCCTACATCAACCATATTATTTCTATTTGTTTAAAATATATATATTTTTGTACTTATGCAATAGTAAATAATATCGACATTTTTATATGATATAAGTAAAAAAATTAAACACGAGTTGACATTTTCATTTCATGTACGGGTGTTTAATTATTATGATTAAAAAAATAATTTGATAATTTAGTTAAAACCGAAAGTAATGTTTTATATAAAATTAAATTATTTTAGTTTTTAAAAAAATAAAAAATATATTATATTTTACAAAACTTTCTAATTCAAAACCCGTGTAATACACGAGTATTGTACTAGTATATATTAATTCAAAACGTGCTGAGCCTAAGTGGCAGACTCGCATGGTTCGGGATCCTATGCGGCAAAATTACATGCTTCGTTATTAGGCTTAGGTGAATTTTAATTTACTTCCAATCCAAAAATAATTAAGTTCGAATTATCCATAGATATGTTGATTATTTATGGTCATGTTAAATGTATTAATTGCATTTTAACATCATTTATTATTATAACAATTGAATTGTAAATGTATTTTAAAAGTTAATTAACTTTTGTGTTTTTTTATTAGTTTTACATATTTAATATATCAAATTAATCATCTCTTGATGAATTTCGATTTAGCATCCATATTGTATGTATAAAAATAATAAATCATATTTATCTTTATAACAATAATAAAATTATATTTTAATATTAGTTAGAAAAATAATATTATTTATCAATTAATATATTTATGTTTCAAGTAGTTATATGGTATAAGTTATTAAAATTATTATAATATAATATATTTAAGTCGCACAAGTAATAAATATCATTCTAAAATATATATTAATATATATATATTTTTTAGAAAAGGTAATTAAAATTTAAAATAATTTTTTTCACTAATTTTAAAATTTAAGAATATATTTTTAACAACAGTTGTACTAGTTAAAACAAAAAGGAATATTTATTTTACCCTACCAACCCCTTACTCGTAACCCGTCGCTATCCAAAAGAACTCAAACAAAAGAGTGATCTCCCCACCGTCAGCCACCGACCGAAGAGCGGCGGACTCTAATTTCTCTCCATTGAAAATGGCGTCGAGGCTGTGGGCGACGAGAGCAGCTTCATACCTTAGGATCTCTGTTCCTCACAGAGGTTTTGCCACTGGTACGTTCACCCGGATTACGAACTTCATCTTTTCCGGTCACGTTTAATTTTCCTGTTTTGTTCACCATTTTTTTTTTAATTTCTGTATTTGCTTTTAAGTTTGTCTGGTGATATGAATCTGAAACGCGAGGCCTTCGGTTTCGTGGTCTGTTCTTGTGCCTTTTTTTGTGTTAAAATGGAAAAAAAAAAGATGGATCTGTTGCTATTACTTATCCATTCCTGGATAAAAGATCTGATTCATCAGTGCGAGTTTGCAGTTCCGATTAACGGCAGATAATCGCTGTTCTGTTCTGTTCATTTCATCTTTTGTTGTGCCTTTCATAAATGCATTTTGAACAGAGTTAGTGACGATTGTCAGCTCCTTCACAAAGGCGAGAAGAGAAACATATGCATTTAAGTTTTCCGTTTCGATCCGTGCGAGTTTTCTGCTTCGATCAATGCCAGATTATTGATGTTCTTTTCGTAATATAGTTGTACCTTTCGAAAGCATTTTATGCATTTGTGAACAGAGTTTGTGACGATTGTCAGCTCATCTCATTCACAACATCGAGAAATATATGTATTTGAGTTTGAACCACTTTTAGCTGTGTGAAAATTGGGGGCTGAAGCATTGAACTTGGCAAAAACGCCATTTTGTTTTGGTTGTTTGTGCACTCTTTCTCAGTATCATGAATGCTCTAGGCCAATTTTGATTTCATATTTGCACAATCTTTGATAATCTCCACCGGAGTAGCTTCACTCTCTTGACCCTAAATTGTTTCATGGCAATGTATGTACGTATTTTTTCAACTGATGCAGTTATCAAGGATCTGAAGTATGCTGATTCTCACGAGTGGGTGAAGATCGAAGGCAAGTCTGCCACGGTAGGAATTACGGATCATGCCCAGGACCACTTGGGTGATGTCGTGTACGTTGAGCTACCCGAGGAAGGGGCCGAGGTAAAGCAAGGTGAGAGTTTTGGTGCCGTTGAGAGTGTTAAGGCAACTAGCGACATTAACTCCCCAATTTCTGGGAAAGTGGTCGAGGTCAACACGAAACTCAATGATTCTCCTGCTCTGGTGAGTCTCTTCCGTAAAAAGTAGTTCGGTATTCTTTGGCACAGAGTGTTGGCGTGAAAAAAAAAAAAAAAGTGTTAGTTCGTTTAGGGAAATGAGTTTCGTGTAGGAACATAGTTGGACGAGAATAGAACACGAAACTTAGTGATTCTTCTGCTTTTGTGAGTCTCTTTTGCATAATAGTTCGCTATTCTTTGTCACAGAGTGTTGGCGTGAAAAAAAAGGTGGTGTTCGTTTAGGGAAATAAGTTTCGTGTAGGAATATAGTTGGAAGAGAATAAAACACGAAACTCAATGATTCTCCTGCTCTGGTGAGTCTCTTTCGCAAAAAATAGTTCGATATTCTTTGGCACAGAGCGTTGGCGTGAAAAAAAAGTGTTAGTTCGTTTAGGGAAATAATTTTCGTGTAGGAACATAGTTGGAAGAGAATAGAACACGAAACTTATTTACGTTATGAGAAAAAATTGGGACAGAGGGCTGAAGGATATTTTGTTGAAATGAAAGTAGTAAGAAACAGTTGTGTTTGTTCTGTTAAAGAGTCGAACATTTCAGGGCTTGCTTTATATTACATTGATTGATACTATCAAATGCTTTATTTATAAGTGTTTGATTACAGTGTATTCATGTTTATTCTCTGTTTAGGTAAACGGAAGTCCGTATAAGGATGGGTGGATCATAAAGGTGGAAGTGAAAGATGACAATGAGCTGAACAACTTGATGGACTCTGATCAGTACTCCAAGTTTTGTGAAGAAGAAGACGCCAAGCATTGAGAGAAGAAGCCTCATAATTTCATAGGGATAATAATCTCCTTTGGAGGGATAAAAACATCCGATGATTCTTTTTTTTCCTCATCTTTTCTCTTTTATTTTCTTGTTCATTTTTATTTTTTTTTTGCCTTTTGCCCTTTTCTTTTCCTTCTGGGTTTTTATTTTTTCTTTCTTGGGTTATTGTGTTAATCTCGGATGATAAACCACTCTAAAACATGTTATGGTATTTCTTCTATTTGATGTGCATTTTGATCCATCATTGTTTTCGTAGATTGTTCTATTTCAACTACAGAGAGCATTATAAATTTTTGTGAGTATTTCCGCTGTACTTTTCTATTAAAAAAATTTGAAACTTATGATTATGTTGAGAAATATCATACTTTTGTTTTTATTATTTTTAAAATATACCATTTGTGTAGAAAATGTATGTATATATCATACTTTTTGAATAAAGATGTATACTTATACAAAAGATGTCAAACTTTTGTTTATATTGTATTTTATAATATATTATTTGTTTATGAAAAATATGCATATATGTTAAAAAAATAAATATGGTTGTTGCTTATAAGATAGTACTAGTACGTACCCCGTGCCATGCACGGGAGAGAGATATTAAATGAATTATTTTCACAGGCTCTGTCCGTTTAAGTCTGAGAAGGGTTATTATATCCACCTATTTTAATCACCGTTAAGTCTCGTTTAAGTCTGAAAAGAGTTATCATATATTTTCCATCTCTTTTAATCACCGTTAAGTCTAAAAAAAAATAGGGTTGTAATCTATTTTTCACATCTTTTAATCATCGTTGTTTTATTAGTCAGAACATTAAACGTGAGCATGTTAAGGTTAACTTGTAAAATAATTAATATATTATCTCACTAACACATTTATACTAATATAAATTTAATTTTATTATATATATTTATTCCTTGATATAAGAGAAAATAACAATTTTACTTATTCTTATTCCCTATATAATAGTTAAATATTAAATTCTGTTGCCATATAATGTCATTATTATTTATAAAGTTATACAAGTTACACGTCTTCTTATTCTTTTTATTTTATATAATGAAATATATTTAATGCACGTTGGTATTATTTATATAAATAATCAATTTAAAATATGTAAATAAATTTAAAATTAAATAGTATATAAATAATGTACAAAATATACACATATATATTTTTAGAATTTAATTTTGTATACTAATTAAACAACTTTGATTTAAAAAAAGCCATGAACTCAATCTCTTCTAATATCAATATTTTTCTAATTTTAATTGTAATGATTATCTTATTATATATATAAATTAGAATTTTTGCGACACCAACCAAACTAAATATCACAACAACCAAGTAACAATTATGAAAAAACTCATAACACAACAACTATCAATTAAATTTGGTAATAGAAAAATTACATACGTATATATAAAAATATGAGGATTCTATATTTCTATTAACTGATGTATACACCACGTGTATATTTTGTTAAGGTATATTGGAATGTTCAATTTCATAGCATGATAACGATCAGTCTTAAAAAATCAAAAATCTTATTGAAATGCCATAATTTTCTGTTAAAAAAAAATTTCCATAAAAAATAATTATATCATAGAAAATTTATTGTGTAATTGAACAAATTTCTATAATGAAGCCCAATTTTCTGTACAAAAATAAAGCAACAACTTCCACATTTTAAGAAATCAATTAATGTTGGTCCATTTTTGCTAAGAAAAAAATAAATAAATAAATTGTAATTAATGAAAAATAATTAATGATGAGAGAATTTGACCATATCTGTTTTTAAAAATCGTAACAGAAAAACAAATATTAAATAAAACTGTATAATACGGAAATAGTAATGACAATAAATGCTGTTGACTTTTCTAGCTACTAAATTTGGTAAATAGGACTCCCTTTCATATAAGTATAGATTCTCGCTATATCTTGCTAAATGAAAAATACTATTCTTAAAAACAATGTTTTAGAAATGGTTAGGCCAGACGTTGGGGAATATTGTCTAAGACCAAGACTTTGGAAATATATTTTGTTAGCTTATAATTTTTATTTATTTAAAGTATGCTGAACTAATAATGGTAGGGTCGACGATGCAAACAAAGCGAAGTGAAGTGAAGTAAAAAAAAATAAAATTATTTTTAATTTAGTTGACTTAACAATTAGTTTTTTCAAAAAAAATTTTTATATCAACCAACTTTTCAACTAGCAACCACAGATTACCACTTAAAAGTTAAAAATTCATTTAGAAATTATAATACAGATTACCACTTAAAAGTTAAAAATTCATTTAGAAATTATAATACGTTAACTTTTCAAATAAATTTACCAAACATACCATACATCACTTGGCTATGAATTGAATGTTTAAGTTTTTTTTTAAAAAAAAAAACTTCGGTATATTTCTCATTATACATAATTAATAAAGTTATATTATAAGAAATGTAGAAATTCGATATTATTAACATAGTAAAAAAGACTGTACATTTGTACAAGATATAATATCTTTATAGTTATTGTATTGATTATAACATAATTAATTACCACTTTTAACTTTATAGTTAATGTTTATTTCATGAAAAAACTCAAAAATATCATATTACAATTTTATAAATAAAATAAAAAAATAAAGGCCAATAATAGTAGCCTGAATTTTCGTTCCGCGGCTAAAACGAAAAAAAAAAAAACTCTTAAAAAACCTATCGCCAGTTTGCCGCTCGCCAGAGCCAAACTCTAAAGTGCATTCATTTTCTTCTGTTTGTTTAGAAAAATGCGGTTAAACTAATTCGGAGAAACAAAAGCATGAAAAAAACGCGAAGAGGATCGTATTGGATAGGAACTGCAGAGATGGTTTTGCTTTCGCGGATCAATAAGCTTGCTGATGCTGCTTCTGTTACCATGGGACCTAATAAAGGTGTATCGAACTTTTTGATTCTTTGCAAATTCTTGTATTCTCGTTCTGTATGGTGTTTTCTGGTTGTGGGTTCATGTAGTTTCTGCTTAATTGCTTGATTTGTGACATTATATGTTGTGGAGAGACTATGATTCTGTTTTTAACTGCCACTGAAATTGGGTATTTAAGCATTCATTTTCGGATTCTCTGTGTTATGGAGAGACTATGATTCTGTTACCGACCACTGAAATTGGGTACTTAAGCATCCATTTTGGTTTTTGATTTTAGATGATTACAAAGGCAAACTCTGAGTAAATTATGCTTGTGTTTCATCTTGTGGCCGGTGGTTCTATGTTGCAGCAGTTGGGAAACCCCCAATAGTTTGTTAAGTTGCTTTCTGTTGCATATTATACGAAAAAAATTACCCAGGGCAAAATATAGTCCTTTCAGGGTTTGAAAACTCAAAAGCGATGAACAATGGTGTTATTATTTTTTGGGCTTCAGAGCTTTATGACATGATTGATAATAATACTGGAGTAGTGTTGATTAAGGAGGTCAGTCAACATAGTCGTGTGATTCTCATGTTAAAATAGAATAAGCGAGAAATGATAAAATCTGGAATATTGGCTATCACTAATGGAGCTAACCCTGCATCGTTAAAGAGGGTTATGGAGAAAACAGTGAAAGAATTGGCCGATAGGTTGAAAGAAAAAAGTTAGGCTGTAATAGGAATTAGGAAGATATGTCATCAAAGATTTACGTGTCATTCCTCCCCGTTGTTTTCTTGGGTTGTTTATTCAACTCTATAGATTGTCGTATTTTCTGTGTTTTGTGTCTTTCTGCAGCTGTAGGTAGTTATTAAGTACTTGTAATGATGAAATATATTGGGAACTTAATTGCTGAAGCTATTGCCAAAATTGGCCCCGATGGAGTAATTTCGATCGAATCTTCTTCATCTTCTGTAAAAACTAATGTTGGGCTTACTTCCCAAGTTTCTGTTGCCAGCCATTCTCAAAAGCATGTAACAAATTTACGGTCATCCTCATTATGCATTATGTATTTATCTTTTTCCTTTCAGTTTTCATTATATTTGAGATGTCTATTCAGGCAATCTTTTCTTTCAGATACATAAAGGATACATATCACCACATTTTGTCATGAACAAGGACAAATCTATCATGGAATTTGAAGATGCCAGAATTCTGGTGACCGATCAAAAGATATCCATGGTGAAAGAGATTGTTCCTCTGCTGGAAAAGGCAACGCAATTCAGTGTCCCTCTCCTGATTGATATAAGTATATAAACAGAAAGTGCCGGAAACTATAGTTGTGAATAAAATACAATGCATGTCGAATGTTGCTGTAGTGAAATGTCATATTGCAAGATATTGCACTTATGACAGGTGTTATTTTCTGCTCATTTTTAAAATCTCAGATTTTTTTAATAATATTTTCTGCTCCTTTCGCTTCAGACGCGAAAATCTGATATTCAAATTATTTGAGAAAATTGAAATTTCATAGTGATTGATTGAAATATTGCTTGTGCTTCAATTTTAACTCAGTACACTTTTTTATTGCAACCAGTTGATGATTTTATTTCTCGAGATTTTGGCCGGACAGTACAAGGTGTAACATCCGATCAGCTTGGTATTGCTCGGAAAATAACAACAATGAGCAATTAACTACCGTTGCAGACCCTTCAACTAAAGATGAAATGCAGGCAATTAATTATGCAGATAAAGAAGGATCTTGTCGAGACAGACATCAAATTCTTGGCAGAAAAAAAAGCTCAGTTAGCAGATTGCAAAGTTCTGTGTTGGGCTGGCTGTAATTAAGGTTGGGCCCACACAGATATCAAAGCATATATCCGTTTTTGGAATGGTGTGTTACCTATTCGTAAGTCTCAACAATGCACTTCATATTTTATTGAATTACAGTTGCAAATCGAATTTTCCTTTTTCCAGTTTGGGGTTTTGGTCGACAATATATTATAAGTTTACGTTATATTCTAGTTAGTGTTCCTTTGGAAATGAATGAAATGAATTTCAGGCGCTTCTTGAAGCTGCATTATTGATCGCAAATAATGTTGGGCTTGTCAATATTGATAAAAGAGCCGAGCTCGAGCTCGATTATAAGCTCATTAAGTTAACGAGCTTAGCCGAGTTGGGCTCGTTAAGGGCTCGAGCTCAAGCAACATTAAATATGGTGATGAAATTGTGGACTTTTACTGGCTTGGGACAGGTACAACTCAACCATCTTCACTACAACTACTATCATTAAGACTCTTTCCACATTTTAGTTTTCATTTATTTAAAAATAATGTAATTGAAAATCTTTACCAAATGTATTTCTTTTCAGCAATATTATTGCTTCTTTTTTTTCTTTGTTATATCTTTAATCATCCCCTAAAGTTGAGGACTGTTTTAATAATATTTTTCATGTCGGCTTTTAATCTAATCATTTCTCGAGCCGCATATTGTTTTCGTAAAATGGTAGCAATCCAATTTTTTTAAGTGACAATTAACTGTTTGTGCAACTTTATCTCATTATTTCGCTTTAGTCTTGGTTCAATTTATCCTGGTGTCATTATTTCCTTTT